GGGGAGGGGGACCGAAGGACCGAACCCACCCCCAAAGTGTCCGTAGGTAGACGTGATGAGGATGATGGAAGTTGTCCTCTTCACCCTCTGTGTACGAGTACCTGCATCCGAGCCGAAAGGGGCGATGGATATGAGCAAGATAGGAGGAAAGTAGGGGGATTCACACACACACCCCGTCCCGATCCCGCCCGATGCCCACGCACAAAGGCGAAAGGCACCGAAGCGGGGATCGGGATAGGAGAGTGAATCACTACTGAACTCCTGTCTGCAATCCACTGCTTCAGCCCAGGAAGGAAAGAAGAGACAGCCAAAACTCTGTCGTAAGGTTCGCACCCAACGGCGGCGCTAACCCGCAAACAAAGTTTTACAGCGCCTGCCGCCGAGATAGAACCCAGGACAGTGCTGTGGGCTGGAGAGAAGTGGAATGGAGAGACTGAGCTCTTATGACACCGACCCAAACGGTCGGTGCCCGAAGCAACACATGACATGAATGCAACGATGTGTGCAATGAGCCAGATCCAATCCAAAGCAAAACATTGTGATATGAGGAGTAGAGTGTATGCGCAAGTTCCAAGAAAATCTTGTACGTCTTGCACCAGTAATGAAGAATCAAGTGTATTTATGCAATTATGCTTTATCACATGTTTTTGCAATTGTGCATTTTCAACAGTACATGCTAGACAATCATCTTTGTGGCTCTTTAGGCCGTTTTGTCAAGACTGCAATCGATAATAAGGTTGTCACCTGCTCTACTATCGCGAAGCTAACGTCCCAGAGATAACGCATAAAACTTATGCCATCGCTCCAACCAAATTCTCGGCGTCGGCTGCAAGAAATGGTGAGTAGGCTGGTTGCGGTACCTTTTCATATACAGCTGGGCCTGTCCATGGTGACAAGTATGGTTTTGATATCGACCAAGATGTGAGAGGCAATTCAAAAGTCAGAAGAAATTCGGAAGCCATCAAAATTGTATGCAGATGTCATCGTCCATCATGATGTGGTGCTGGTATGCTCTGATGTCCATGAGGTACAACTGCCGAGCCTGCGTAATCAGCGGCGGCAGAACCAGCGGCACGCCATGGGGGCGCCATAGGAGGCGGAACCATGGCTCGAGGACGCGCCACATGATGTACCGTAAGGGGAGTTGTGGTGTGTAGGGGGGGCAGGGTCGGCCTCCGCTCCCCCTTTCGACGTGCCCTTCGCAGCGCCGTACTCGCTGCGGTTGCCCGCTGCAATTTCGGCGTCCAGATGGGCAGCACCCCTTATGACATCTGTTATGTAGTCAGACCACGCGCGATCGGCGCTCGGGAGAGCGACGGCGTCTCTGGTCTCCGGACCGAGAGTGGGCGAATGGAAGCCGAGGCCAGGATCCAGCGAACGATCCGCGTCCGATCGGCGATCGGGGTCCCAATCGACCGGCTGATCGGGCTGGTCGGCGGTGGCTGAGCTCGCGGCTACCTGCTGTCGAGGGAGGACACAAAAACAACCTGAACGCGAGGGAGGCGTCTGCCTCTTCAGCACAGGGGGGTCCGAACTAAGAGCCGGGGTCTTGATTTTGACCGTCTGTCGAAAGAACAACGGCTTAGCCAGAGCCAGCGGGCTCCTGCTTCGGGATTTCTTCAGCCGAATCGGATCCGGAGAGTCCTGGGAGCGGGGAGATTTTCCGTGCCGGGTCGTTCCTGGAGAGTCCCGTGTTCCGCGCCGTGGGGGCAGGGGAGGTGGGTTTCTCTTCCTGTGTCCAGATCCTCTGGGCGCTCTGGTGTCCAGATGCTCTGATGGAGCAGCAGCCGGGCGTGTCCTTGAAGACGTAACAGAAGCACGCGGCTTTTGAGCCGGAGCTGAGTCATCCCCTTGCCGTGGCTGGTCCTTCGTGGCGCCGCAGCACGGACAGTGCCCCCCCGGATTCGGTGGAGGCGGAAACACTAACTCCATGTTATCGGCGTCAACGTGTGGTATGTAGTCGCGAACAGGGGCCTTCCGTGATGGTCCACCATCAGGTGGTGAGAGAACACACCCATCTTTTCTGCTCCAATGGATGGTCCAATCCTCATCCTCGACGAGACGACCCATGGAAATAACAGACGGACAACCTTTGAGAGCCAAAGAACCTGTGTGCAAGTTAATGGAAGGCACAGAAATATTGATGTGCTCATTAACAACTCGATCGCCGTTTGCTGTTTCCAATACGTATTCATGTCCACGACGAATACCACATGTTTCAGCTTGAGTCAAATCGTCCTTGTCCGTGATGTGGTGCGCAGAACCACTATCCAAGACCCAAGACCGTGCGAGAACCGCGGGGGACTTTGCTGCAGTTTCCTGCTGCATGGTCCCTGCTGCAGTTCCCTGCTGCACTAGCCCTGCTGCAGTTCCCTGCTGCACTAGCCCTGCTGCAATTCCCTGCTGCACTGCCCCGGCTGGGACAAGCGGCATGCAGGTGTCGAGGTCGTCGTCCAGGCGCTCGGTCAAACGGATGGCGTTCTCGATTGCCTCCTGGAGCGCATCCGCGGAGGTCTGCAGCCAGTGGTCCGGAAGAACATCAGGAACGTGGACCACATATCCCTGGTTAGGGGAAGTACGGTGTCGACGCATTTTGGTCTGAACAGGGAAGTAGTGAATCTCTGTGGCTGCAAAGTTCCATTGCAAGCCTTTCGGCGTCTGAGTCTTTCTGCCAGGGACTGCAGCGAGAGCGAAGGATCGTGGACGACAGACGTCAACTTGAGGTCGAAGACAGCCGGGAGGCCGATCACAAGGGCTCGGGTCGTGATCATTGCTTTGGCTGCTGCGGCGTCGGTCGCGGGAGGGGGAGCGCCGTAGTCGACAGGAGTCGTAACAGCGCGTGCCCCCCGGACTGTTGGACACTCGCGTGCTGTGTCCAAACTGGGGGCCTGGCGAGGCACCAGGCAGGGCGCCAGGCTCGGCGCCGGATTGGGAGCCGGGCTCGGAGCCGAGAAAGGTGCTGCGCTCAGAACAGCCGGGTTGGGGACCGGACTCGGAGCGGGACTGGGAGCCGGCAAAGGCGCCGGTCAGGGCGCCGGGCTCGGAGCTGGTCTGGGGGCCGTGCTCGGAGCCGGCCTGGCAGCCGGCGCGGGTGCCGGTCAGGGCGCCGGGCTCGGAGCTGGTCTGGGAGCCGTGCTCGGAGCCGGGGGGGGCGCCGCCAGGCAGCAGTGCGCCAGGTGGGGAACCGGGCTGGGAGCCGGCCTGGGAGCCGGCAAAGGCGCCGGTCAGGGCGCCGGGCGGCGAGCCGGGCTGGGGGTTACGCTCGGGGCCGGCCTGGGAGCCGGCGCGGGTGCCGGTCAGGGCGCCGTGTTTGGAGCGTATGACGTACACTCGGTTCCAGGGAGCGGCAGGTGACCGGGCCCTCGTGCTCGTGCTGCTCCGCTGGCTGGTACGGTCTGAGTCGCGAGAAGGTCGACGTCCGCGCTGGGAGTCGTCGTGGAGCGTGCCTTCCTGACTCTCATACCCGTCTTGGTTGGGAGCGGGCTGAGATCGCCAGTTATCCCAGGTCTGAGATTGGGAGGCGTCACGAGGAGGCTGCTGAGATCCCCCCGGACTCCTGGACGAACGGTGGTTTCGACCAGATTTCGGTCCACGCGAGGGGGGCGGCCACGGCTGTCCTGACTCCGCGGGCGGCTGATGCTCTGTGGCGGAGTCGCAGCGTTGGCTGCCAGGTGTGCGTAGGTGCACGCGTCGCCCTTGGCGCAGTGGCCTGCCTGGAAGTAGCTGCAGGCGGGCACGTGGGGGTAGCGGCAGCGGTCGCCGTACGAACAGGCACCAGTTTTGGCGAATTTGTGGCAAAAACGCGCGGCGCCGCCGTGAGGCTGCTGCGAGCCGGGTGGCTGGGCAGAACGCTGGGGCTGGCGAGAGTTCTCGCTGTGAGGGGCGCCAGTGTCAGGGCGGCTGCGGGAGTCCACCATGTGCAGGAGCTTGCACGCGTTTCCCTTGGGGCATTTGCCCTTGCTGAAGGGCACGCAGAAGCCAGTCTTCGGAGAGACGATGGCTGCGGTGTCCCTGTTGCCTGTCCTCAGGTGGTACTGGTTGCGCCGCGTTCGGTGTAGCTCAAGAACAGCTGTGACTCGGTGGTGGAGCCAAGTGTAACAGCGCTCTGGTGCCCCTTTAGGAGCTTTGTTGTACGTGTTCATGTCGTCCTTCATCCAAGGATGCAACTCAATCTGTGTACGAAACAGTGACTCCATAATGTTCGGCGGAGGAAGCTCCCGGAGCTCCAGGAGCAGTTGGTCCCACTCCGTCACGAACCTTTTGAGGTCATCTCCATGCATACGTAGAGTGTTGATCCTTTCGAAATCATGAATCGTATCGTCGGCGTCGGTCACATCGTAATAACGCAAAATCTTCCAGTAGATCTGACGTCCCTTTATCATGCGACCGTGCTTGTGCTCTGTGTTCTCCAGCAATTTGATATCCAGTTTCAATTCGCTGCTGAGAATCGCTTGTAAAGCTTCCGCGAACTTCAGATCCAAACTTGCGAAATCACCGCTGTCCTGTAGATCATCCAGTGTCACACCGGGCTGTTCTGCAACACAGAAGAACTTGTATGCAGCATCTGGACGCCCAGAGGCACTGCAGAAGGCCTTGCGGACTGCGTGCTGCCACTCAAGAACATGTCCGATTCTGGGAAGACCTGGAACACGCACACGCTCGCTCTCCTTCACCGGTGCGATGGTAGCAACAGGGCTCCCTCCGATGGTGTATTGAGACTGCATGACAGTAGCACCAAGGACGTTGGGCACTGGTGAGTGCGTGCGAAAGCTTGCAGCGTCGAAGTTTGCCTCCTGTGCAGGTGCTGCGGAAGCGGCCGGGGCCGCGGTCCTGCTGGCAGCTGACGGTGACACACGTCGGGCCTGTGGCTGGTAGCCAGCGGCTGGGGTTTCCCCCTGCACACCCCCCGCGTTCGAGGCAGGGGCGCCGGGAGAAGTGCGTCTGGAGGTCGGGGCTTGCGGTGGTACAGGTGTGTGCTGTGTAGCGTCAGCTACGTGGGCCTTGAATTGGTCTTCGAGAATGATGTTGTCACGTTGCAACTGTTCGATGCAGCCTGAGAAACCATCAACAGTCCTCTGGACCTCGCGGGTCTTGTCTGTAAGCACGGAATACTGTCGTTGAGTAGACTGGGAAAGGTCTGTAAGAAGAGAACGTAGCTGATCCATGTCGGCCTTTACGCGCGACAGCTCCTGCTGCGTATCCGCCAGGCGGGTCTGCACTTCAGATACCCGTGCCTTTCCAGCATCCCTCTCAGAGCGAAGCTCGTGTAACTGCCTTTGCACGTGGTCCGCCTCCGCACGCACGGTCCGTTGTACGGCTGCCAGTACGGCGGGGTCGTCAACCGAAGAAGGGGGCACCAGCTGGCCAGTCTGGGCCCTTACAACGCGCAGCTCAGTCACGGCCTCTTCGAGAGTCAGGACTCTGGCGGTGAGCTTTGGGATCGAATCAACTTGGGAATCAGAGAAACGCTGGTTGACAGCATTTTCGGCTTGACAGAGTTTGCCGTAGAGATCTTGTTGGATTTGTTGGGTCTCAGCACGAAGATCAGATGTAGCGGACATCGTGGCGTCACGAAGCTCAATAATCTGGCCCTGGAGAGCTGAGGGAGCCGCGCCGGCGCTGGCGGCAGCAACTGCTTGGAGTTCATCGTGGAGAAATTTGGCGCGAGTATCATTGTGGTCACGCATATGGATAAAACGTGCTTCCAAATGAGAGAACTCGGAGTGCACAGCGGCAAGCTCGGAGTGGTCTTGGCCACGTTGAGCGGCAACAGCATCGACCTTCGAAACGAGTTGACACATGACGTGGCGATCCTCGTGCAACCTAGCGTCGACTTCCTGCAAACCTTTAGCGAGATCCGATCGCAAGATCGCAGTCTCAGTGGCGGTTGCCCGGTGCACGAGAGCAGTCTGATGCTCCACGTACGTCTGTACCTGGTCTCTTAGCTCAGCCATATCTGTTAGGGGGACGGCGGCAGGCGCAGCCACAGGTGAGCTGACAGCGCGTCTTCGTGCCCTCTGGGAGGGACTGCGGCTGTGCAAATCCTGGGCTGCAATCTGGAACTGTTCGGGGCCACGTCTGTCACGAGGCGAAGCTGCGCGAGAACGAGAAACAGTGACTTGACGACCGGCGAAGGCTGCGCCGTCGCGGGTCTGAGCACGAAACTCGAGGGCGCGGATGTGCTCTCGGACTGGCGTCACGGCACGGGTGACTGGGTTCCGTCCTGGCGCGCCGGCGTTCGCGTGACTCCCGCCCCAGCGGCGAGATCCTCCAGAGCCTCTCTGCACGGGACTTCCCTGTGGAGGCGAAAGAGCCTCCGAGTGGGCCCCCCCAGCAGGGGCCCGAAAAGTCGGGGTCAGATTTTGAGGAGGTTGAGGAGTCTGGAGCTGAGGAACTCCAGGAGCCACAGGGTGTCTCGCTCTGACAGCATTTCTGGGCGGATCATTCCGTGGCACGAGGACCTCAGCGCTCTGAAAGAGATGCGGTCTCCCGCTGCGGTCTCCCGCTGCATCCGAGCTGCGGTCTCCCGCTGCATCCGACACGACGGGCGACGCGACGGGAGGAACGACTGACGACGAGGAAGGGGCCTGGAACTGAGGAGTACCAGGAGCGTGTCCTTGTCCAGCGTCAAGACCCTCAGTACCTGGAGAAATGGCCACACGATCAGCTCGCGGGATGCCATGCACGTCCATCAAAACTTCAATCTCCTGCTCCAAGTTGCGCGCCACGGGGTCCGCCACGCCGTCGCGAAGAGGCGCGGGGCCGAGAGGCGCACCGCCCTCCATCGCGACTGAGTGGGGGGCTCAGGAAGCGCGGAAGTTGGAGCGATTGCGTTTTGAACAGAGAAGGCTGATAACCTGTGTGAGGGGGAGGGGGACCGAAGGACCGAACCCACCCCCAAAGTGTCCGTAGGTAGACGTGATGAGGATGATGGAAGTTGTCCTCTTCACCCTCTGTGTACGAGTACCTGCATCCGAGCCGAAAGGGGCGATGGATATGAGCAAGATAGGAGGAAAGTAGGGGGATTCACACACACCCGGTGAGGGGTCCAGAACTCTGGGGAGCGACGTTGCGGGAGAGCCCAGAATCAGATCGATACGTCGGATCGGCGGTCGAACGGAATCGGACCAGCGGAAAGCGGCCTCCGAGCCGGGAGCAGCCGACTCGGCGGAACTCGGCCGGCTGGCAGACCCCCCTGAAACACGCAAGACAAGTCAAGACCCGAGGTCGAATCAACGTCGGCATCGGCAGCCACCGAAGTCGGCCTCGCCTCGGAGGGGTCGAGAGGAGCCCTGAGGTCGAATCAACGCAAGACAAGTCAAGACCCGAGGTCGAATCAGCGTCGGCATCGGCAGCCACCGAAGTCGGCCTCGCCTCGGAAGGGGTCGAGAGGAGCCCTGCGTGCGGGGGGGGGGTGTCGGAGGCCTGGGCCCCGGACGTCCGCGGAGAGGGCCCGGGCGGGGGCCACGGGCGCGCCCGCGGGGCGCTCGGCCCTCGAGCCTCGCGCGGGCGCTTTTGCTGTCTGCGGAGCCCCGCGCGGGCGGCCGCAGCCGAGCCCTGCAGTCAGCCCGCAGCTGGAGGCCTCCCAGCTGGGGGCCGAGCAGATGTCGTCGAAGGGTCTCGCCGAATCGCCGATGCATAGGCGACGCATCGCCGATGCATCGGCGATGCACTGGCGACGTCGGTGGTGCATCGGCGACGTCGGCGTGGAGAACATCGGGGCCCATATCGAGCCGCATCGCCGGTGCATCGCCGATGCATCGGCGATGCGGCGAGATCCTCCGACCCCATCTACTCCGACCCCATCCAGGAGCCCTAGAGTATCACAAGGACGCACGATAAGGGATGCAAGGGCCTTGGAAGGCCACGCCGCCACTTTGCGAGCGGGGCGCGGCCAGCGAAAGCGGCCAAGGCTGGGCCGAAGGGGAAGGACGCAGGGGTAACCTTGAAAAGTTGCTCGTCCTCACTATGCGGGCTGACTGTACACCCACGAACCATCGAACTAACAAGAATCGATGGGAGGCGGGATCAGGGTTCGGATTTCGCCACGTGTTCGACGAATTCCGAACCCTCCCCCGCCGCCAATCGAGTTGCCTGCATCGTTGATCGGCGAAGGTAGGGTTCGGATTTCGCCGCCGACAGAAGCCAGCACGAGGATCGCGGGTTTCCTCGATCCTCGTGCTGGCTTCTGGGCAGAGGCTGGGAAGCGAGCTGTGGGGGATGCACAAAAATGCTGATGTCGCTACTGCCTAGACCTCTCCCGGGCTGCGTTCTGACCAGAGCTTCGAGGAGAATCCAGCCGTGGCGACGGTATCGATGATCGGTATCTTTTCCTCCTCTGAAGCTGGTGTGCCTGATTTTCGCTGCCACCGCTACAGAGCAATGGGCAGCTACCCTGTGTTGGTTGTTGCCTTGCTGGGCGAAGTGGTGGCCGCCATCGGACAACAAAATACTCTCATGGTCGTTCCGCCCCGGTCCGTGGCAGATTGCCACGACGAGCACGGAGCGGCACGAAGGAAACGCCAGGCTTGGATTTGTCCATAACTTTTTTTCCTCTGTGGCATCAACTACTTCAGATTGCAGGCAGTTCGCAGCGGAAATTCGGGTGAAAATAAAGTGAAACATCGCTCATTGCAACTAGTCTCTCTGGATCACATGTTTCGCCCCTGGGAGATCGATCTTCGGGGACCTGGGCAGACGGTGGATGTTGGTAGATTTGGCCCACCCCAAAGCATGACAACTTCCGTATCCCCGCCCGCCGAGGCCCCCGGAGACCGACCCCCAGGGCAGAAGAGAACTCTCCGCCTCGGCATACACGCGTGCCCTGTGGGAAACGGGTCCTGCATCCTGAGGCCGTTCCCTATAGGACCAGCTCTTCACTCTAGGTCGTTTTCTGACTGCCCCTGGGGCCCCGGGACAGCCCCATGGGAGCCCGAACGCGGCCAAAAGACTCCCGGGGCCCGTTCTTCTCGGGACCCGCTTGCTACACGGCGAAGGCTGCAGCGCAGGCCCACGACGATCGGATGGGGTCTCCTCGATGCGGCGCTGCCGGATGCTCGACTTGGAGTCGGCGGCGCGCTCGGAACCGGCGAGGTCCACGAGAGACAGCTTCGCGTGCACGGCGCCGGTGGAGGCGGAGCGCAGGAAGACTGGCCGCGGAGGAGTGTCGTCCTCATATTCCTCCTCCTCCTCCTCCTCCTCCTCCTCCTCCTCCTCCTCCTCCTTATCATCATCATCATCATCATCATCATCATCATCATCATCATCATCATCATCATCATCATCATCATCATCATCATCCTCCCTTCTCTCCTGCTCTACTCCTCCTCCTCCTCTTCTCCTCCTCCTCCTCCTCCTCCTCCGCCCTCCTCCTCCCCCTCCTCCTCCTCCTCCTCCTCCTCCTCCTCCTCCTCCTCCATTCCTTTTCCTTATGAATAACTTATCCCTGTCGCACCCCGAGGCCAATTTTTAGGGCGGGCCGGGCGTTTCGCCCAAGCTCCCCTCACCACGTTTGATTCTGAAGCTTAAAAAGTGGCAACAGCTTCACAGATGGAGGGCGGGTGGTTTTTAAATGTTGCTCTCGCATTAGCGCGGCGCACATTCGTTTAAAAGAATTGCAAGAGTTTCACGGATTGAAAGCGGATGGTTTTCAAAATGTGGCTCTCGCCTTGGCGCCGCGCACATTCGTTCAAGAAAACTGCAAGAATTGCACGGAATGAGGAAGTGTGGTTTCCAAAATGCGGCTCTCGCAGCGCGGCGCACATTTGTGTTAAACAATTGCCAGAGTTGCACGGATTGAAGGCGATTTGTTTTCAAAAAGTGGCTCTCGCATTAGCGCGGCGCACATTCCTTGCACAAAAATTGTAAGAGCTTCACGGATTGAAGGCGGTTCCTTTTCAAAATGCGGCCCTCGCCTTGGCGCGGCGCACATTCGTTCAACAAGCATTTAAGAGTTTCCCGGATTCCCATCATCATCGTACCAGAAATGGCGTTTTGAAGGATTCTGGCACGATTCAGGATGTCAAGACGCAACAGTCAGGTTGATCAGCGGCGTTAGAATCCCGAGAACAATGTTTTGGCATGCTTCAGGGTCTTCAAACGGGTGTCTTCCAACGAGGCAGTTCCATCAATGGAAATGAACCGTTGTAGGGGCTAATGAAGAGGGAGCTTGGAGGGGGGGGCTACTTCAACATCGTTGATGACTCTTGGGTTTACACTGGTCCTCCTCCTCCTCCTCCTCCTCCTCCTCCTCCTCCTCCCCTCGCTCTTGCTGCCAGACCTGACACCAGTAATGCTCGAGGATGGAGGATCGTAGATTTTCGGGGCGCATCGGCCCCCTTTTCGGCGTCCGGAAGCACATGGGCTAGAAGATCGTGAAACCTTGGCGCTTCTGCTCCTTTTTGTTGGCCTCCTGGCGATGCCTGGGGGTGATGAGGAATCTTCTAGATTTTAGCCTTCTCGCGCTTTCGGGCGGAGGCCCCAAAGGCGGCCCAAGATGGCCCATCTTGGGCCGCCTTTGGTGCCCTGAACATGAACTGACATGTCGAGCCCTCCGCCCAAAGATTACACCCCAGACCGCCAACAGGCCCCCACAAGGCCTCCAAGAAGCCCCAGAAGGTCCCCAAGAGGCCCCAAGCAGGCCCGCAAAAGGCCCCCCAGAGATCTCCAAGAGGCCTGCAGGAATGAGTGTGCAGAGGCTTGGCATCATGCGTACTTTTGGTGGCGGATTGCCAGATGGCTTCGATTTGTTGCAGAAATAAACGCGTGCCGCGAGGCACGGAGTGAAGTGCCCTCAGGTCCCTTGACTCATCCGTCCACAGTCCTGAAGATTCCTTCAGAGACCCGCAGCTTCGGGAGCCAGGCGCTCGCGCGCGCCTCTGGGCGCGGCCAGGTCTTGTAGCACGACACTCTCGGAAGCCAAGAGGGGCCCAAGACGGGCCAAGAGGGCCCCGATTTCCCTCAACGCGGGCAAAGATGTCCCCGAGTTGGTCCAAGAGAGCGCTCCAAGACACCTGAGATAGCTCCCAGACGGCCCAAGAGACCCCCGAAACGCTGCAAAAGAGTCCAAAGAGCCACCCCAAGGCCAACTTCACTGATGTTCCTTCGGATTATGACGGATTGAAATAGTCTCACGCTTTTTCGAGCTTCCGACGGTCCAAGGCGGCCCAAGAAAGAGAGCCCCAAGATCGCTCCAAGACTGCCTGCTCAAGAGGGCTCTAAGAAGGCCCAAGCAGCCCAAGAGGGCCCCAAAGCGGTCCAAGAGGCGTCCAAGACGCCCCAAGAGGGCCCCAAGAGGGCTCCAAAGACAGGGTCCAGAGAGGGAACACGAGTTTCCACTACGAGCCTTGCCAATGCCCCCAAGAAACCCACAAGAGGCGCCAGAGGCCCCAAAGAGGCACCAAGAGGCCCCAAGAGACCTCCGAGAGGCTCTAGGAGAGGCCCAAGGATGCCCCAGAAGGGGTCCACGAGGCATCCTAAGAGATCCCGTGAGGCATCGAGGAAACCTCTGTCCGACACCCCATTCACAAGGAACTGTCGCCCTCCACAGTCGATATGACTCACAAAGTACAACTGGGTACCCTTTCACTCCTATAACCTCCGTCCAAGCGGGAGGCATCCCAAAAAGCTCCCGAGGGAATCCCCAAGAGACCCCGACAGGCCCGACTGGCACCACAGACGACATGGCCCGAGCGGCACCTACTTGTACCACTTGAGCAACATCTACTCCAACCTGTGCCCCACCACCGAAGCACAGGGAATCGACGCCTTCTAGAGTCGATACGAACCCAAGTGTACCACTTGGGTACAACTTTAGTCGTACAGCTTCCATCTGCGAAGGAGGCATCCCAGGGAGCCACCGAGAGGTATCCCAGAGAGCCCCCGACACGCATCCGAGTCGCCCCATCGCCCACGACCCAGGCGCAGTGGCGGGATGGATCGAAGGCACCTAGATCCGTATGCTCGCTTTGCGGCGGAAGTACAACATTTTCCCTTTTGTGTCGCTTTTGCAAGTTGATTCCTCTGTCACGAATTTACAGGGTGATTCCTGTTGCGGCAGACGTACATGCATCTACGTCTTGTGTCGGATTTCCGGCGCCGTGTCTCTGTTGTGGGCTGACGCGTTGATCCCTCTGCTCCATGGTGACATCGGACTTTGCACATACAAACGTGTTTGTACATGATGTGTATTCTGATTGGATTGAGAAAGCTGTACACAATTGAACCTTTCGTGGCGAATTTGCCCAACGAGTTGTTATGAGACGGATCCATAGCCTACATGCTGTAGTCGCACATTGATATGCTTTATTCCATGTGGGGAATTCGCCGAGTACTTTCTTATGTGGCGGATTCGCTGCTGTTTTCTCCCTACCTGGGCTCTGCCTAGAAGGGTTCTTACCGTGAATGCTTAAAAGGCTGGCCAGTGGTCCTCGCCCCGGGCGGTTCCCCCAGTATCCGCCCCGCGGTTCCCCCAGTGACGCCCCCTGGGTTCACCCAGCTTA